AACACAAGACATGCCTGTGGGAGTTACTTCAATTAAAGTGCAAAGTTGTGGCTCAATGTTTCAAGTTAGTGGCTTGAATTAAAGCACAAAGCGTAATCTGCAAATATATATGACTTGAATAGTATTCAGGTAATCTCATACCTAACATTGTTCTTCAGTTCTTGTACTTCAAGGTTTCCTTCTCAAACCCAATTGTGGGAAATTGCTTAGCATACTCCTCAACATCATGTCGGAGCTTTGCAATTTCAGATTGGAAGTGAGGGGCGGGCAGTGCGGCCACAAAGTCCTTCAACTTTGTTCCTGGTATACAGAAATTAAGGAAATGCAGTTCCATATTAATCCATGCAAACACCAGGATTATCAACAGCCAACTATTAGATACCATTTGTATATGAATGACAACTGGACAAACAAAAGCTTGGTGAGCATGAAATTTATGATATCAAATAGTTTAGGAACCTTGGGCTTCCCCCTTGATCTTCACCGCCAACTTCACAGCAGCATCAAAAAAATCTGCAACTTTAGCGAAATCCTCCTCAACAAATCCCCTAGAAGTAAGAGCCGGGGTTCCTGAAGTTTCAGAAAAATCACCAAGTAAGGTTACTGAAATTTTATGAAAGAAAAAGAGTGTAAGAAGAACCAAAATTATGAGAAGCCTTTACCCATCCTGATGCCACCAGGAACCATGGCAGACACATCTCCAGGAACAGTGTTCTTGTTGGCTGCAATGTGAACAGCTTCTAACACCTTTTCAACCCTGGAGCCGTCAATACCCTGGAAAATGAGGTTTTCACAAACAGACAGTGCTGTCACTGCATCTTTCATGGTAGAAAAACTATATGGTACACCATTACATGGAGTCAACAGCTCAGATTGGTAGTTTCAAAATTTCTCTGACTATAAAGCACAACTAAGTGGTAGACTTAGATGATTGCACAAACAAATTTTTGAAACCCAGAAGCTTCTCTATAAAGTATTACAAAAAAAGAAAATTTCTGTTACCTTGTTCTTCAAATTCACCAAAACTAAATGGTTCTCAGTACCGCCAGAGACAAGTTCGTAGCCCTTCTCAACCAAAGACTGCATATTTTTTTCCAATTTTTAGCTATTAGAATTCTGGAAGTAAATTATAGACCTATGTCTTAAAAAGAGAACATTATATGAAGGAAAATTCTAGCATAGGTGAACAAGAGGAAATGTCTGAAGCTGTTATCTCTCTCCGTCTCTTTTCGTCTCTTTTCCTTTTGAAATATATATAGAAATTCTCATATGCGGACATCAGGACGTTATTATCGTGCAGACACCATGTATTTTGTACTACCCCTCCCAACTTTC